CAACTGCCAGCTGGCCCGCACTAAACATATTTTAATTCCGCTTTCCTCTGAATTTTCCCGTGGAAGCCAGGCGTAACCTGTGTTGGAGATAATCTTGGCCTGTGTTAAGCGATGCCAAGTATTAATAAAAAAGAACGTATTCAAGCGAATCAGAGTTGAACGAACCTGTGTTAAGAGGGTATTGTACAGGTATCCCTTTATTTACAATTTTCCTGAAAAACCCATCGCAGGACGAAATATTGTAAATTGGGATTATTAAACATCGGCTTGCACTCACAGAACACATGTTCACGAAAACAGAGTGACGCACTTTACAAACATCAAAAACACAGAAAATATCACTTCACAGTCACCATAACACAAATCAGTTTAAATGTTAGTGCTGTCCTCTCACTATATAAGAAAAGAAAAAAATATTGATGATAAGTACAATGTATGATGCTGGGCGATAATCATGGAGCCATGCGACGGCGGGTTGGCCATGTGGCAGTGAGTGGCAAATGAAGGTAGAGATGCGACGTGCATAGGGTTATATATTGTTTCCTTATAAAATTTCATCGACAAATGGATATCCATTCGACGAATATCGTTTAAGCGAGTTGTTTTGAACATATATAGCAAGATGGTGCTAATTTATAATCATCGTTAAAGTGGAATATCGCGTCGGGATATTGTATCTTGAGGTTTACCTGTAACTGATTATGATACTAGACTTGTGCTTGGGGGTTAGGGGGTAGAAACACATGGTGAAGTGAGTCAAGTCCAAGGGCGAGATTCATACATCACAAAAGCTGAGAAGAGACTGAGAGGCTCTCATGTGTGAGTGAGTGAAAGATAAATACCTACTTGGCAACATAATCTAGTCAGGCCCACCCTTTTTATTCAAATAGGCCCGTGAATAATCAAAACGTCATATAACCTGACCCAAAGCTCTACAGACGTACGTCATATGTGACCGAAAGCCTAGTGGTTAAGAACAGGTCTGATCATCATTACACGTTCCCTTCGAGGCTAAGGGGACTCTTGAAGGTGGAGTGGAGACGTCACTCTGACTCCCACACAGCTTTACAATGTCAAGCTTCACCTCCAAAGACATGATTTTCCTGGGTGCCTTGGCCTTCCCAGACATTTTCAAGTCACACTGCTCACTTCAGTCACAAAAAACAGAACGAAAGCACTTGTCACAAAAGCAGAGCGAATGAAGATAATGTCAAAACAATGATAGCAGTCATCACTGCTCATATCATGTTCACAACAAAAGAGGCAAAGCAATTTACAGTCACAAAAAAACAGCAAAAATCACTTCACAGTCACCAAAACAGAATTTTAAAATATGATGCGCCAGATTGACTCGCACAAAATATGAAAGATTCGCTCTAAATCAAAACATTGTCCTTAATTGTGGGTGTCACTTTAAATCAATAATCTTAAATTGAATCACTTTAAATATCGATGTTCTACTCTATAAATTTTTTAACAATACATACATTAATATAACTTAATGGATTTCTTGTTATATTGAAGTATCTAGTATACCATACAAGAACTTCTACTACTCCCAATCATATCCCTATTTCTAACTGTCGCTGATTGGCAAGCAGGCACTGGGGATCATATCAAAGCATTTCGTCTAGTATTTCAAATTATAGCGACAGAAAATCTAATGATACTCTTTGGGGGACTGTACAGTACAGTACCTGTATAGTACTGGCAATATAGTATGGTAATTTCACACTGAATGTATAGTACAGTACGTATATGCAAGTAACGGTAATCACTTTTTATGTCTTTAAACTGCTTTAATGGTATTATTGGCTGATTATATGCTGGTACAGTAATATACAGTACAGTACAGTACTGCACAACACAGATCGCATGTGAAAACAGCAGTGCATGAGCAAACAAGCTTGTACAATGGCAGCAAGACAAATAGGAACTCCAAGTCTTAGGCAAACATGCACCCTGGTTACCTGCAGGAAACTAGAACCTCTAGTAAAGAAGACCCCTCACAGTCTGAGGATGTACCTTATGCATCCTAGAACACTAAGCAGTGCTCTGTCATTGGTGGAATACTCTGATATTTTGCTACTTGTATTAAAGCACCACTGATATCCCGCTAGTTGCAATATCACTGATTTTGTTTTTTTCCATGTGTGTTGTGGTGAGTATTGAGATGGTGTGGGAGGTAACTATGGTGGTGGTGTTGGTGTGTAGGACAATTATTGTTGTGATGATAGGGGTGATTATAGTTGTGTATGTAGGTGACTTTTATCATAAAGTACAGTATAGCGATAATAATGTGTTTGTAAATACAGGTATGTAAATGACTGTACATTCACATGCCAAGAATTCGAGGGAATCATTTCACAAAAATGGGTAACTTGAGGTGGCTCTCAGTATGTTTTCTGTAATTTCATTCCATATAAAAAAAAAATGCTTATATAGTATCAATGTTTTATCCCATTAATGTTTAGTCGTAAGTGTTGTAAATATGGTATGCAGTATATTGTGAATATTTAAAAATAATTAAAAGAAGGAAACTACAACAGAAAGCATAATAGAGTTATATAACACAGAACTTAAACAGATAAAATACAGTATACAGTCTCTCCCCGACTTATGACGGGGTTAGGGACCCAATTCCAGGTCGTAAGTCAAATTGGTCCCAAGTCGAAAATGCGAAAATAATACATAGAAAATCTAAAATGGGTGTCTCTTTTTCTTCTCAGCACCACAAAACTCTCACTTTTAAGCATGCCAACTATTTTAAATGGAATTACAAAAAAAAATTTTGTCAGTACGCAGCGTAATCACTAACGTCGGGACTCGAAAATACGTAATTTGAAAAAATTTTGGGACAACTGGGGCGGTCGTATGTCCGGGTGGTCGTAAGTCGGGTAGGTCGTAAGTCGAGGAGTGGCTGTAGTACTTTTGAAAAAAGGTTTATGGCCATATCATTAGGAGCAAGAAGGTTAAAGGGGGAAATAATTATTCTATCTACACTTTATTCGAATTTTGGAAGCTACTGTGCAGGCAGTCCCCTACTTACAAACCTTAAAGTGACGAACTTTCAAACTTATGAATAAATTAGATATTCAACGAATAAAATAGAAATTCATGACTGAATGTTTGGTTGAAATTTCAAACCATGCCCCAGGACTACAATCACACTATGTTGAAGGCTGGAGTATGTTTGCCACCATCTTTTATTGTGTTGTGACTACAACACATGCCTAAATGTGTTTTCTGCTGCTTTAAAGTACTTTTTAGAACACTTTTGACTGCCAATAATGTCTGAAAAGTGAAATTAGACATCATATTACATGCAGAAAGAGGTGAAAGACTAACAGAAATTGGGCATTCTCTGTAGGAAAGATTAACAACAGTAAAATTTTACTTACAAACAAATTGACCAACAATATGGGTCCAGGAACGTAACTCGTTCATAAGTAGGGGACTGTCTACATGGTGTAACACAGCACTTAATCATCAATTGTTCATTGATGACAAAAATGACAACCACTGCTTTATTTTCCCATTCAACTTAGGTAGAAGTTTTGACTAAGCATACAGCACCCTCAGTTATGTTCTAGATTTTCCTGCCATGATATTTACCATACAGTACACTGAAACCTTTACATCATATAGTATTTCTTTTCTTTAATTCTACAGCTTTGTATACTATGCACAGTTAATGTGTGGATATTTCTACTGCAGGTATGGGATCGTTTATCCGGTACCCAAAACACTCCAAAAACTGACTATGTTCTGTAACAAATTATTTCAAATGAACACCACATAATTCCCAAACTGAGTGGGGAAATTTCCAACTGTTTCCCATCTGTGACCTATATGTTTTTATGGTTATTTTTCAACTCATAATTTTGGGTAGATACTGTACACCAAATCTTCATTTTTAATGTTACAGTGTACAGTACAGTTAAAGCTACTTTTAGGGGTAAATCTAGTAATATGAACAAAGTCTTCTCAGCCAGTTACAGAGAAGGTTTACTGTAAATTTTATACATTTTAGGCCTGGTGCTCCAAATTTAAGAAAAAAAACCCTATCAGGTAATCCCCAGGTCCCAAGCTTGCAGGATAAATGGTACCAAACTGTAGTTGTCTTCAGTACTTCACTGTTACTTTCTTGGTTGTCTTGCATCTCTCTCCACTATTATTTCCCCCACTTCCTCTTTGAGGAAGTTTATGGACCCCTTGATCCATCCCATACAGAAGTAAAAGAGGAGAAAAGATAACAAGAATTACATAAACAGATACATACCGGTAGATATATATATTCAGTAAAATCATCATACAAATGTAAATTAACTCAACATGTTTAATGGCAATATATATATATATATATTACCACAAGATGTAGGCAGATAGGCAAACAATTATATTGTACTACTGAATATAAAGGATATGTAAGTATATACTGTATATAATCTTTGATAATTTTGTTATTGAAAGCTTTGAATGCCAGATAATGCTTGTACCTATTGTAACATCCACATGGGCATCTTAAAGTGCTATATATTTTCATATTTCATGAACTTTTGTACTGTTGGATAATGTTTGTATGTATATAATGGATAGTGTCTGTTTGTAAAATTTTTGAGTTATTGCATTTCTTGATAACCGAGGAAATCTTACCACATGCCATCATCTGAATGCTCCTACTTAAACTCTCATTGTTTTTATAATTTCCTAAGGTAAAACAACATTCTATTTATTTTATATTTATGTTTCAATGTCTTCTTAGTGTTGAGACAACAGTGATGTTACTTTACATCAATGCATATTATCAATAAGTAGATCATTTAATCACTCACAGGGGGCAAAATAACCGGTATTGCATCGCATTTTGCAACAGAAGACTCCCTCAAAGTGAAGCAAATGTAAAATTACATAATATTGTTACTGGAGAACACATTTTGTAATTTATTCTTTTAAAACTATTTCACTGTTTGACTCAACAACATACCTTTTCTCCACAGATTGAAGGTCCACGACTCCAAAAGAAAGGATCCATTGTAAGTGCAGAAACATCGGTGTAACAATGTACGCAAGTAACCACCAGGTTACTGGATGACTATGAAGTTATCTTATTGCACAAGAGAAAACAAGTAGAGCTGGAGTAACAGAGCGCTCTCGGCACCAAGTTTCTGAATTAATGAAAGAGTAAGCTTATGAAAATGTATCCATAATGGTGAAGTATATACAGTACTTGTACTCGGTAAGTGTATTTTGCTTTATCAAAATGTATCACTGTTCATGAAGAAAATGAAAGTCAAGCAGAAATAATATGTAATCAGTTGAGCATCTACAGGTTGACAACCCTTTATCCGAAATTCCGAAAACCGAAAAGCTCTGAAAACCGAAAGTTTTTTATTTTTTTTATTTTTTTTAACAGGGATTAGCCCATCGGGGCCTGGGGGCAAAAATGTAATAGTAATAATAATTATAATAATAATTATTCATAGTAAATAAAAAATTTAATACAAAATACACCCAAATAAAATAATAATGATAATAATAATAATAATAAAATATAATAATAAAATTAATAATAATAACAATAATACTGTAATAATAAAATAATAATAATTAAGAAATACAAGAATGAAAAAAAGATAAAAAGTGAGAAACACGACCTAGACCTAAGAATTATTATTATTTTTATTATTATTATTATTATTATTATTATTATTATTATTATTATTATTGTTATTACTATTATTATTATTATTATTATTATTATTATTATTATTATTATTATTATTATTATTATTATTATAATTATTATTATAATTATTATATTTTCGCCCCCCAGGCCCCGATGTGGGTCAGTGACTTGTGCCCTGGTGGGCTAATACAGACATAAAAAAAAAAAACTAACCATTCTGTAAACCTAAAAATTCCGAATTCCGAAATGCCTCTGGCCCCAAGGATTTCGGATAAGGGATTGTCAACCTGTATAAACTTTTGCTCACAAATGATTGTGTTTCCATGAAAATAAAACATTTAGAACAGCTAAACTACACTATGCTGAACATCAACATCAGTAAACATGAAGTATTTGATAATACAGTAGTGGTTAGTGGATAAGGGTCTAAAATGCACTAGTAATATGATTGCTACTATCCCACATGCATATACAGTACTGCCAACAAGGCTCTATATAGGGTTAGTGGCAACTGTTACAGACAGATAGATCAAAACCCATTTCATTGCCAATACATTCTTCCCATTGTATTTGTGTAATGTTTTAACCTCCCCTTCACCACAAACCAAAACTGTGGTACAGTATTAATGCATTATTGGGTGCAGGGTGTGCATGCATCAGGGTTGTGGATTGTGGTAAAGATGGTGAAATCTTTCACTTCATGAGAAAAACCTTTTGGTCTTTCTCAAAGCATCTAAATCTTCCATTTATTTTAACAAACACTCAGTTTGCTTAACATTATTGAAATGGAGAAAGCATATAACTGTACTGTAGTTGATTTAGTAATTATTGTAACACGAACTAACAAAATTAATTTAAATGAACAAAAATATTTCTATGTTAGACATAAATCCTACAGTGAGGAGAATTTCTCTATACACTATAGGTATACAAAGTATGTATTACAGTAGTATGTCTTTAAACATTGTAAAGTAATATACAGTACCCATTAATACTAGTACAGTATTGTGGATAATTAACAAAAAACTCTGCAAAATAGTACAGTATAATTCTTGAAGTAAAAGAGCTCTAATCTGTTTATAAGTACAGTAGTATACAAACAATACCTGTTCATGAATAAAACATTCACCAGCATACACAATAACCAACATACATATAAGGATTATGGCAGAATATTAGAATGGACAGATGATTAATAACAGTAACTGGAAATCAATGTAAGGTGATGAACAGCCAAGTATGTCCGCAGTTAGCATGTGCATGTCCAATGACAGACGAGAACCTTCAGTGGGAGAAAGTGTGTGTGTAAGGAGGAACCTCTTCCTTTTAACACTTAATAACTTCCAAGCTGGGGCTTCCATTGGTGACAGAAGCTAACCTATCTACTATCTGTTCTGAGTTGATGATAAATATTATTTTATATTTCAGTGTCAAAATACTGTATCTGCAGACCAAATTTCTAAACCTTTTAACAATGGTATAAAAAATGTTGATGACATTGCAATTGAAAGTTCAAAACACCTCAAGAATTCCAGTTTGTAACTAAGATGATGATGTACTTATCCTACACACAGGCTAGTAGACTATGTAGATTATAACATTAAGTGTCAGTGTTATTTTCACATAATCGATGATCCAGTAGAAATTACTGTATGCGAAAATGGAGTTCGGATTCATCTCATTGTATTTCATTCACTGGAGAGGCAACATTCACATGCAGTATACTAAGCAAGTAATAGAGAGAATTTATTACATTTTGTATACAGTACTGTATACTGTATCGTGATTAGCTATCAGATAAAGGTTAAATGTGTGTACACGTACATGGCATTTCATGTTAGCTTTGGGCAATACCATTATATATGAATATTGTATCTTTTCATTGCATATCATATAATGATCTGGTTGTACTATACAGTAAACCCTCGCCCAACGCGTGTTGGGTAAAATCGCGTTCGGCAAACTTAACTTCTTGTGGGAAAAATGGGGTGACGAGATCGTGGCCACATATGGACTCTTATCATGTGAAATGCATACCTTTTAAATATTTATATAATGAACAATTATGATAATAATAATAATAACATACCATAAACAATTAAACATATTAATGATAAGTATTATAAAATCATATTACTGTACTCACCGATCCATGGTTAGATGATTGTAGTGTAATTATGATGACGAAGATATCGTAGATGTTGTGAAGCCTTCTGATGACGGTGATTGATAAAACTGGAATTATTTTTATTTCTTAAGCCAATGGATCATCAGAATCATCAGCTTCAGGCTCCAGATCGGCAGATGATGTTGATGGTTAAGGTGACCGCGGCCTCGAGAAGAAATCTGTTATTTTTTGATTGCTTTTTCTATACAAATCTTTCAGAATTTCTCTGTGTGGCACAAATATCATCAAGGGCCCTTTTGAACTTTAAACTTCTCTCCATTACTGGATCTGTGTCAAAACACAGGGCTCAAAGTTCATTTGCTTTCAGGAGGAATTCAGAGGTCGTCTTAATTGTTAATTTAGGTTTTACGGGTTCCACTTCAGCATCATCATCATCATCACTTTTAGCATCATCTGCTATAAGCTCTTCAAGCTCCTCATGTGTTGGTTCTTGAAAATGCGAGTCCAACAGTTCATTCACCACCTCCTTCTGCATGTCATCAAAGCCCTCACTTCTAATTTCCTTTGCAAGTTTCATAATTTCTGGAATTGCTTACTTGGAAATCAGTCACAGTCACAGCATCACTCCCTGCCCCCTCAGTTTTTACAACATGAGCATACAAGCTACGTGCTTTCTCATGTAGTATTGCTACACTATCAACAACATATCCTTTCTCATTCACTTATCCACTGATCCAAATATTTAATATTTTTTCCATTTTTTCTAAGTAGTGATCTCTCCTTGGTACTTGGGCTGCCTTAGCACTAAGAGATGCAGATGCTTTCACACTTGCACATATTTTGTCCTCACAACTACGAATTGTGCGTATAGTGGATTCATTTACAGAGTTCTCACAGGCAAGCTTTGCTACATGCGCTCCATCACACAGCCGATCTAAAATCTTTATTTTCTTGGCTAATGTCATCACTTTCCTACTTTTCTTGGGTGTACTAGCATTACCTCTGCGTTTGGGGGCCATACTGCAAACGCAAATACACAAAGCAACGCAAAAACACAAAAAGTCCAAAAACTGCTTAGTACGATGTTGATGATACTAGCGCGTAGAAGAGACTAGCGAGCATCTCCAACTGGCATGCGGCTGAGACAAAGCAGAGGAGGAGGGAGGAAGGCGGAAGCGGCATGTTGTCAACTCGCTTGTATTCAAATTTTCCGTGTTGGGCAAATTATTTGGTCACATATATTTAAACGAGTATAGTCAAAATCGCGTTGGAAAAACCAGCTTTGGGTGAGGGTTCACTGTATTCTGTAAACTGATTGCTATTAGTACAGGTATTGATCTAAATATTTATAATGCTAATATTTTTATGCATTTATTCCATTTTGCTCTTGAGAATGTAAAAGCACAAACATCACCAATGATAATACTTCTATGTGAAACAGGTTTTGTTATGTCAAAATCATTTATGCTACACTGGCATCTTCATCATTTACAGTAATACAGTAGTCCCTCGCCAACTGCAAGGGTTAGGTTCCTGAAAATCCTGTGGTTGGTAAGACTAAAGGCTTATGGGAAATAAGGAGTTAGGTTCCACAGCAGCCAATAATACCTACCGAGTAACTAAGTTGCCTGTTCGTTTGCAAAACAATACCTACATTGTACATTCCATTAAATTTTAGTCAAATAAATATACAATAGCATAATATAAATTAAACAGTCATATAAATTTAACAGTTTAAGGGGTACCTTCATTGGGGATGATGGTGGATGAGGATGATGATGTGGAGGGAGAGGTGGTTGTCATTAGGAAGAGGGGTACACAGGCTCACTCTCTTTTGCACTTTCCCATGTGCCACCAACAACACTAGCCCTTTTCGTAACCTCAATTTTCTTAATCGTATGAATCGAGGATTCGTTTACCCCCCATGGTGTGTCCCATTGATGCTACGCTTTCATCACACACACTAGTCTATCAAGCACCTCAAATTTTTTTTCTAGAGTCATTATGTTCCTTGCCCTCTTCACCTTTATCCCTAACAGTCAATGCATGCTTAGGAACCAGAGTTAAAGGCAAAATCAATGTTATTACTGTAGAAAATATGTAATAAATATCAAGTGTATGGATCAATAAAATACATCTGCATGGTATGAGATCACAACACTGAGAAAGCGTGGCAGGAGGCTGGATGCTACACGGATGAATACATTGGAACACGGTGGGAAAATGAGGCCACAGTGAACTGTGGATACTCGAAATTCAAAAATGGTATACAGAGTAAAAACCGTGGATACCCAGAATCCATGGTTGGCGAGGGACTACTGTATAGTACTGTAAATGGATTACATTGTTGATCATTTGATGTTTAAATACAACCATGCTTCAAATTTCCACTCATATCTTTACCCATTTAATTATTCATTCTTGAAGGATTAAATGCAAAAATTACCATCCACAAACTTTAACATGTACTGTACTGCATATGAAATGAAACTTTAACAAATTCAACTTTATTTTAAAGATAAATAAAATTCATATATTACAAATATATTTTTTATCTGATCATATTTTTTTTTGTCTTTTAAATTTCTAAACA